TATAAAGATTGCCATCACATTACCGTTACAGCTGCTTGAGTCAAAATTTGACTAAGCAACTACTTTGCTTGACTCTGAAACAGATACCCAAAGGCATACTTGAAGGGAAACATAGGGCTAAAAGAAACCAAACACCCTCAGCTCTTTTTATCTCAATGAACAGAGATTTTTGCACTCCTTGAGGGAAGTTCTGAGGGCTTTAAGTTATAACCTTAATCACCTTGCATGTGAACTTGTAAAAAGTACGGTGTTCAATTCGCCACATCTCAAAATGCCTTCTACCAGGGAAACTACAAAATATATATCCTTTGCTTACCAAACTGATACTCTGTTTCGCATTACACTCATCATTGTATCTAAATACGCTTTTAAGCAATCTAAATTTTGTTTAAAACCTAATAAATTTGGCTTAACTAAGACTATCAACATAGTTAGCTGCATTATTTTTTTCACACGTTCCTTTGTATTAAAATCAATTTTGTTGTGGTCTGATGTAAAAGCTTTTTGTTTGTTTTGGTGGGAGAGGCAAAGTCCAATTTCCTAATGTGCCAGTACAGTTCTGGTTGCCGAAGACAAAGGGTGGGAAGGAGCCTGGTGGAAAAGATGGCAGGGTAAGTGAGGTAAGAGGTAGAGGGAGGAAAGAATTGATTTAATAAAAAATGAGTAAAGAAACTTTAAAAAATTGATACAGGTTTCACATTCAGTCTAACAACACTGCTTCCTGCTCCTTTTTGATGGAGGCTAACACTGCATTATCAGTCTCTGTGGCTTCCGTGTCCCCACCGCCTAGCAGGATGGAGCGATCTTCTTCTAGCGTAAAGACAGAGTTTTGATTTTGGCACGAATGTTTGACTACTTCATTGGGAGTTGAAAATGTTTTGTCACACAAATTACACTTGTAGGGCTTGTTGGTCTGTACTAACATGTTGTCCATCTGACTGCCTTCCTCAAAAGTACAGAGTTCCAGAGTCTGTTTATCCACCATCGTGTACGTGTCCATGCTCTGGTTTAGGCACACGTGTCTGGCAGCCTGGTTAGCCCTGCAAAAGCTTTTGTCACAAGTGCTGCACTTGAAGGGTTTGCCTGTGTGTATGTACATGTGCTCCCTCCAGTGGCTTTTCTGAATAAACTTGCGGCCACAGATGGAACATTCGTATTTCCGTCTCTTTACCTCCCTCTCTTGATCTGCCTGCTCCAAGTTGTCAATGTCTGCGATATCGGAGGGGGGAGGTGTCTCCGACTGCTGCTGCCCATCGATTATTGGGGAGTCTGAGATCTGCTGCAGCTCGCTGTCACTAATCATCCCTGCTTCAGGCACTTCCACGGCATCTTTATCAGCTGTGTTGTTACAGAGAGACAAAGAAATATTACTTTCTCCCTGCTGGCCAGACGTGAAGGGAACTCCCGTGTGGATCTGCAGGTGCTCACGCAAACTACTTCGCAAATTGAACCGGCGACCACAGAGGTGACAGGCATAGTATTTTGGGAAGCTTCCATTCCTTTTCATAATGCTTGGCTTGACGTGTGCTATTGTGAGTGGGGCAGGCTGTTCATCTGAAGAAGATGCTTCCATGTTGGCCTCTTCACCTGCAGGTGAATTATTACCAGCAGCAGATACCAATTCTGGAGATAAAGAAGATGGCAATGGGTCAGAAGTGGACATATTTGTCCGGGTCACTTGTGGCAGAGTTGAAGCTAACTGCGAGAGCTGTGAGCCGTCAGGACCCTGCTCTTGGTTCATCCGTGATGTCTGCGGCCTTGGTTCCCGCCCGAGTTTGTCAGTGGCAGATGTAACCTTAGTGGGATGTCTTATCTGGTGATCTGCAATCTGAATGCCATATAATGAAGATGCTAATGGAAAAACTTGATCCGGGTGAGAAAAAGTTCCCTGACTTGCAAGGCTGGCCTCTTGAATTAGTGGATATGCATGCAGAAACTTTATTCCCTGTTCTAGACGAACTGGGTCAATGAGCTGTGGTGCCATCTTCCCGGTGTACATCAAATGCAAGAGATAACTGAAGATATCTGGCTGTATGTCAGTCGCTTTCAAACGGACACATTCACTGAAAGGTGAAACAAAATAATAAATAGGAGATAAGGAAAATCTTTTTCATCAGTTCTAGGTTAGTCAAGCATTGATAAAAACAGAAGGCCTCTACTTAAACACAGAAGACAGAATCTGCAATAAATATAAATCCTTTAATGTAAAAGAGCTAATTTCATTGGCCACTTGAAAGATGACTTTTTTCCTCAGTGAAGTAACTGGCTTGAAAGACAAGACTGTCCCATTGCAATCTACACTCTTCCAAACTGCTGTTATGTTATACTCATGTTGTCACATCTTAATATATTTTGCAAATTGCAAAGACGTTTTTCCTCTTTTTTTGGTTGGATTCAAACACATCTGTTGCTAAATTAAAACCTGCTAGCATTGCCCTCTAAATTCACAGTCCATTAAACTTTTCTCAGTACTTAGCCCTGAAAACACTTAAAGTTCATCGGGAACATGTCTGTTTGGCTTCTATGTCCTACTAGGGTTTACGGCTACAGTTCTACAAATTTGTGGTATCACCTTATCTCAACTGCATTACAATCCAGAAACCATGCAGGGTGTGAATCCCCCCAGCATCTGATGCAACAGGTGTAGCCTGACCACATGTAACCTGTGGAGTCCAGGCTCCTTACACAGCAGAACAGTAGCTTCTTTCCTTGAACAGGGAGGAAGCAAAGGCAGCACCAGGGGTATGTTTGGTTAGCCTAGCAATCCCTTGGCTAGAGTGCTTAATTATGGGAGATGCTTTGGCTGCAATGTCTTCTTCAGCCTAACAGGGCTGAAACCAGCACCATCCTCCAGCTGAGAACTTGCCCTACACATCAACCTTTACGATACTCTGGACTGAAACACCCACCACTCCGCTGGATCTCTGTGCAGAAAATGAGGCAAGGTTCACAGAAGAACAAAGAAAATAGGGAACATTGTGGTTAGGTCAGTTGGCTAATAGGAGAGGAACTAGGATTCCAATTATTTTTCAAGAGTGTTTGTAACTCTTGTATTAAACAAACATTTAGTAAAACATAGAAATCCAGAAATGGATATGACTGTGTGCTGTGGTCTGAATGCTCTAACCACAGTAGGCTACTAAGCTGAGGAGGAAATTGTAGCCAATTCTTCCATTTCTTGAGGTGCACCCTTGAGCTCCCTGTGACCGCTTTTGAATTCAGATTTATTACTCAAAAGGAAACTTTGCAATGCTGCCTTCCAAAGATGGCTGTGTGCTCTTGATGGAGCATCAAGACTGATGCCTCTATCTGCAAGCAGTCCTGTCTCAGAAGTGCCAATGTTCTTCTGTCCTAAAAGTTTACTTTTGGCTAAGAACTCTTAGCCAGAGAGTTAGGAGTTTCACTCACTTAACATAAACTTTTTGAGATAGTTCAAATATTTGGGGAAAAGACCAAGAAATCTTTACAAAAAAAAAGAAAGAAGAAACACAAACCTCCTTATTTTCCACCAGTATGTAGTATTTTATTATTCTAACTTCAATAAATTGAAAAAAAAATTAAATATATACACCTCTTTTGTACAGCTGTTTCTCAAGATCTCCTAATAAATACTTACTGGGTTGTGTATAATGTTATGGAAATACTAAGACCAGTGCCAAGACAGAGTAGAAGATAGTGAGTGGGGGAAGGAAAGTGCAGGAGTGAAGACAGGATCCTTGAAGTATTCAATTTTAAAAATTCTATTTCTATACTTTTTTTAGGACAAAGGACTTGTGCTAAATGATAAAATTAGTGTTAATGAATCACAGTTCAACATCAACATGTTTTAAAGCGAGATCCTAGTTTGCAGATAAGACTGGATTCTGTATTTCTTATATCAGAGCAAGAAGCACAAAGAACATTTTCAGGTTTCAAAATGTTGCCAGACTTACTTAGCTTAGCTAACTGAACAACATTTACACAGTGAACCTTTTTACTGTTACCTGGTTTGATGAACAAACAACATCTTGAAGTAGTTGGAGAAAGAAGCGAGGACTGATTTGTGTGCCTTGAAGTAGACATCACCAATGGCAACTGTGCAGTCACACAGGAAACCGAACTCTCTCTGAGCATTTAGTTGCTGCAGCAGAATAAGTCCATGGTTGGCCAAATCCATTTTTTTACACTCTGAAAAGCAAATGACTTTCATGTAAAACTTAGCAGCAGATGCACAGATGCAACACTAGCTGTCTCTTAACAGACATTTTCCTCTCACATCTATGTATCATGCTTTAGTGACACCTCTTAATCCCAAATTACTGTATAAATGATATCTTACACATAGGCAAAGAGCTCTCTTTCATGATGGGCAATGTGATTCCCAACAGTGCAAGTGATTTGCCAAGGTTTAAAGAGCAAAGGAGAGCCAGGACTAAAGAGCTGTGAAAAGGCATGAGGTGGAGACTTGGATACAGAAATACAAATAGCTAAAGAAGAGGAAGATATATTAATACAACAGCAAAAACACCCATATGCAATGGGAAGAGGAAAGTATTTTGGCTGCCACTTGTCTGCTCAAGTAGGAAAAATAAATTTCCCTTCTGATGTCAGTCACCCTCACCTAAGTGGGTGGGAGAGACAAGAACACAACCCAATAAAAGACATGTTAGATATTTATAATCTGGATTTTCAGTGTCTCTGTATATTTTTTACCTAAAGTTATGGGCCCATCCAGCTGAATCCGAGCCCAGCATTAAATGACTAAACATTTCTGATGGCTATGCCCTCTCCTGGGAAATGCCAGATACATCCCCGAGTCTTCCCAGGCTCAAACCATGAATTTATTCTAGGTACTGGCAAGCTCTCTGCACTGTCAAAACAGGAGGGGCCAATCTTTTCACCCAACAACTATTAATTTACTTATTGAGACCAGCTACAACAGCCTCATGCCTGCCCAGCGAATCAAGGTACCCAGAGGAGCAGTTCTGCCATTGGCACATGGTAGGGTAACTAATGATGAAACGTAGCACAGCCCCTAAACCAGAGCTTCCGCAGCCTCTCCCCCTCTCTGGCACCTCCCTGTACCAGCTGCTAGAGGCTGCCCTCAAAGAACTACCTAAGAGCTATAAACCTTTTCTCAAGGATTTGAGGGCAGCCTTGGAAATGGGCAAAAATGAGTAACTTTGGGGGGAAAAAAGCAAGGGAAGCACACTAGGGCAGTTGTGGATGGTTGGGTGGATGAATATAGAGCTAGTATTCAACTACTGGATACAAACGTAAAACAAGTAGAGCTTTGAGCAAAAAAAGCGAAAGTATGAAATAATGAAGATCCATACATAAACATGTAAAATAGCCCCAGAAGCCAATGAAACTCATGGCCATGTTGTGCTCAGAACAATGCAGAAACAGAACAGAACAGAAAAGAGAGAGAAGGTGAAAACAGAAGTGGACCAAAAGGTTTACAAAAAGATTTGGGTGTTTTCTGCTCCAAACTTAACAGGAAGTTACCACAATTTTAAGTAAGGTACAAGCAGCTTGTTTCTTTTACACAGCACGAGTGTGGCTTTCTTGGGAAGGAGAACAAAAGTGTATTCCACATATGTCAATGTGTTTAGTCATTGGAGAAACAAGTATTTCTACTTGCTGGACAGCGAAGAATGCCCTCATATTTAAACCAGGATGACCAAATGCATTCCTTTGCATTCACATGAGATCAGAACTCATTTGAGTCAGTCAGGAGTGTAAGGGCAAAGAAAGAAATACAATGTAAGATACAGTGGCTTATTTTTATATGGTTAATAACAGGGAAAAAAAAGTCATGTTTCAGCTCTCCTTAGGTGCATATTCTCCTCCCTAAACCAATATTTGGATAACTGTGTTTGTACAAACAATATGCTACAATCCTCTCCCTGTCTCCCTGAGTGGGAATACTCACTGTCAGCAGTAACAAAAATCATGTTTGCTGTTATTCAATCCTGCAAGATTTCCCCCTGGGCGTGATGCTACAGAAAATACACCAGGTATCTTTTTTAGCTTTAATTTAGATTATTAATGTGTGCTACATTTTTTTTAATTCATCAGTGCTAAGCCTGGTTTGTACTTGGACAGCAAAGCTCTGATGTGAGGGCAGTGCAAGCCAGAAAGGGATTCTTCCTAGTTATTATGGTCCCAAGTTTGTTTAGCCTGTAGCTTCACCCTTACCCAAGCAGCAGTCGCTTTGGCAGCTGGAGCTGCTGCCCTCTATCAGAGGCCTGAATTAATCTTTTCACAAAGTCACACACGTGTCTAACCCTGCATTTTGAGTCTATCTGGATGATATTTAAATGGTTTAATTGAAAGCACTACAAGAATTCTGCTCTAAAGAAACTGCAAGGCAGGTGAACAGAGCGGGGCAAGCACTCTGTACATCGCAGGTATGTGAGGGCTCCGAGGCTTCACCCTCAGCTAAATAAACCACGCTGAACACGGGCAATGCCGTGTTCTAGTGCTGAGCAGCTCAACAAGTGTGTAAAGCAGTTCCTGCGACCTGAGACCTCCCGGGAGACAGTCGTTCCTCGGCTCTGCGCCGTGTCGGGCTCTGGAGATGACAGAACCACGGGACACGCGGAGCTGGGAGGGACCCGCAAGGCTCACCGAGTCCGGTTACCTAATCTGCTCAACGGTTGGGCGAGACACCCGAGGGGCCGTGCATGGCGGAGGCCGCGCGGGGCACAGGCACAGGCACAGGCACAGGC